CTTTCTACTCTCACATGTTGAAACTCAAATACCTGTACTTTCTACTTCTCACATGTTGAACTCAAATACCTGTACTTTCTACTTCTCACATGTTGAACTCAAATACCTGTACTTTCTACTTCTTACATGTTGAACTCAAATACCTGTACTTTCTACTTCTTACATGTTGAACTCAAATACCTGTACTTTCTACTTCTCACATGTTGAACACAAATACCTGTACTTTCTACTTCGTACATGTTGAACTCAAATACCTGTACTTTCTACTTCTTACATGTTGAACCCAAATACCTGTACTTTCTACTTCTCACATGTTGAACTCAAATACCTGTACTTTCTACTTCTCACATGTTGAACACAAATACCTGTACTTTCTACTTCTTACATGTTGAACCCAAATACCTGTACTTTCTACTTCTCACATGTTGAACTCAAATACCTGTACTTTCTACTTCTTACATGTTGAACTCAAATACCTGTACTTTCTACTTCTCACATGTGTGAACTCAAATACCTGTACTTTCTACTTCTTACATGTTGAACTCAAATACCTGTACTTTCTACTTCTTACATGTTGAACTGAAATACCTGTACTTTCTACTTCTCACATGTTGAACTCACATACCGTACTTTCTACTTCTTACATTTTGAACCAAATACCTGTACTTTCTACTTCTTACATGTTGAACTCAAATACCTGTACTTTCTACTTCTTACATGTTGAACCCAAATACCTGTACTTTCTACTTCTCACATGTTGAACTCAAATACCTGTACTTTCTACTTCTCACATGTTGAACACAAATACCTGTACTTTCTACTTCTCACATGTTGAACACAAATACCTGTACTTTCTACTTCTCACATGTTGAACTCAAATACCTGTACTTTCTACTTCTTACATGTTGAACCCAAATACCTGTACTTTCTACTTCTTACTGTTGAACCCAAATACCTGTACTTTCTACTTCTTACATGTTGAACTCAAATACCTGTACTTTCTACTTCTACATGTTGAACTCAAAACCTGTACTTTCTTACTGTCTTACATGTTGAAACTCAAAATACCTGTACTTCTACTTCTTACAGTTGAAACTCAAATACCTGTACTTTCTACTTCTTACATGTTGAACTCAAATACCTGTACTTTCTACTTCTTACATGTTGAAACCCAAATACCTGTACTTTCTACTTCTTACATGTTGAACTCAAATACCTGTACTTTCTACTTCTTACATGTTGAACTCAAATACCTGTACTTTCTACTTCTTACATGTTGACTCAATACCTGTACTTTCTACTTCTCACATGTTGACTCAAAATACCTGTACTTTCTACTTCTTACATGTTGAACACAAATACCTGTACTTTCTACTTCTTACATGTTGAACTCAAATACCTGTACTTTCTACTTCTTACATGTTTGAACTCAAATACCTGTAGCTTTCTACTTCTCACATGTTGAACTCAAATACCTGTACTTTCTACTTCTCACATGTTGAACTCAATACCTGTACTTTCTACTTCTCACATGTTGAACTCAAATACCTGTACTTTCTACTTCTTACATGTTGAACTCAAATACCTGTACTTTCTACTTCTTACATGTTGAACTCAAATACCTGTACTTTCTACTTCTCACATGTTGAACTCAAATACCTGTACTTTCTACTTCTTACATGTTGAACTCAAATACCTGTACTTTCTACTTCTTACATGTTGAACCCAAATACCTGTACTTTCTACTTCTTACATGTTGAACTCAAATACCTGTACTTTCTACTTCTTACATGTTGACTCAAATACCTGTACTTTCTACTTCTTACATGTTGAACTCAAATACCTGTACTTTCTACTTCTTACATGTTGAACTGAAATACCTGTACTTTCTACTTCTCACATGTTGAACTCAAATACCTGTACTTTCTACTTCTTACATTTTGAACCCAAATACCTGTACTTTCTACTTCTTACATGTTGAACTCAAATACCTGTACTTTCTACTTCTTACATGTTGAACTCAAATACCTGTACTTTCTACTTCTCACATGTTGAACTCAAATACCTGTACTTTCTACTTCTCACATGTTGAACTCAAATACCTGTACTTTCTACTTCTTACATGTTGAACTCAAATACCTGTACTTTCTACTTCTTACATGTTGAACTCAAAAACCTGTACTTTCTACTTCTTACATGTTGAACTCAAATACCTGTACTTTCTACTTCTCACATGTTGAACTCAAATACCTGTACTTTCTACTTCTCACATGTTGAAACTCAAATACCTGTACTTTCTACTTCTCACATGTTGAACTCAAATACCTGTACTTTCTACTTCTCACATGTTGAACTCAAATACCTGTACTTTCTACTTCTTACATGTTGAAACACAAATACCTGTACTTTCTACTTCTTACATGTTGAACTCAAATACCTGTACTTTCTACTTCTCACATGTTGAACTCAAATACCTGTACTTTCTTCTACTTCTCACATGTTGAACTCAAATACCTGTACTTTCTACTTCTTACATGTTGAACTCAAATACCTGTACTTTCTACTTCTTACATGTTGAACTCAAATACCTGTACTTTCTACTTCTTACATGTTGAACTCAAATACCTGTACTTTCTACTTCTCACATGTTGAACTCAAATACCTGTACTTTCTACTTCTCACATGTTGAATTCAAATACCTGTACTTTCTACTTCTTACATGTTGAACTCAAATACCTGTACTTTCTACTTCTTACATGTTGAACTCAAATACCTGTACTTTCTACTTCTCACATATTGAACACAAATACCTGTACTTTCTACTTCTTACATGTTGAACTCAAATACCTGTACTTTCTACTTCTTACATGTTGAACCCAATACCTGTACTTTCTACTTCTCACATGTTGAACTCAAATACCTGTACTTTCTACTTCTTACATGTTGAACTCAAATACCTGTACTTTCTACTTCTCACATGTTGAACACAAATACCTGTACTTTCTACTTCTTACATGTTGAACTCAAATACCTGTACTTTCTACTTCTTACATGTTGAACTCAAATACCTGTACTTTCTACTTCTCACATGTTGAACACAAATACCTGTACTTTCTACTTCTCACATGTTGAACTCAAATACCTGTACTTTCTACTTCTTACATGTTGAACCCAAATACCTGTACTTTCTACTTCTTACATGTTGAACCCAAATACCTGTACTTTCTACTTCTTACCATGTTGAACTCAAATACCTGTACTTTCTACTTCTTACATGTTGAACTCAAATACCTGTACTTTCTACTTCTTACATGTTGAACACAAATACCTGTACTTTCTACTTCTTACATGTTGAACTCAAATACCTGTACTTTCTACTTCTTTACATGTTGAACCCAAATACCTGTACTTTCTACTTCTTACATGTTGAACTCAAATACCTGTACCTTTCTACTTCTTACATGTTGAACTCAAATACCTGTACTTTCTACTTCTTACATGTTGAACTCAAATACCTGTACTTTCTACTTCTCACATGTTGAACTCAAATACCTGTACTTTCTACTTCTTACATGTTGAACACAAATACCTGTACTTTCTACTTCTCACATTCGAACTCAAATACCTGTACTTTCTACTCTTCTTACATGTTGAACCCAAATACCTGTACTTTCTACTTCTCACATGATTTGAAACTCAAATACCTGTACTTTCTACTTCTTACATGTTGAACTCAAATACCTGTACTTTCTACTTCTCACATGTTGAACTCAAATACCTGTACTTTCTACTTCTTACATGTTGAACACAAATACCTGTACTTTCTACTTCTTACATGTTGAACTCAAATACCTGTACTTTCTACTTCTTACATGTTGAACACAAATACCTGTACTTTCTACTTCTCATCATGTTGAACTCAATACCTGTACTTTCTACTTCTTACATGTTGAACTAAAATACCTGTACTTTCTACTTCTTAAACATGTTGAACACAAATACCTGTACTTTCTACTTCTTACATGTTGAACTCAAATACCTGTACTTTCTACTTCTTACATGTTGAACACAAATACCTGTACTTTCTAACTTCTCCTCATGTTGAACTCAAATACCTGTACTTTCTACTTCTTACATGTTGAACTAAAATACCTGTACTTTCTACTTCTTACATGTTGAACAACAAATACCTGTACTTTCTACTTCTCCTCATTTTCCAAACAGCTGGTTCCGTTAGTCTGAATGTGTGTTTGATGGCGTGATCATTATTCTTTAGAGTCATTGCGTGCCTATTGATTTGAACACGATCCGTGTATCCATCATTTCCTGGTCTTCTCTAAAGAAGAGGGACCAATGGAAACGTGTCATGTTGCCGTTGTTCAGCATGGAAACATTCATTAGCTAACAATGACATTATTGTTCTATTGATATAAAGGGAGGTCAGGTACTCTTTAAAAGCAGCTGCTAGTTATGGGTACTTTTTACTGAAGTACATTTCAAAGCCCTCTTTACTTTGACTTGAGTAAAGAAGTGTAGTCAGTACTTCTACCAGAGTATTTTTAAACACGAGTATAGGGCTGCTCAATTAATCGTATTTGAATCGCAATTACGATTTTGGCTTGCAACGATTATGAAAACAACATAATCGAAATAAAACAATTATTTATTTTATTTTAAATGTTTTAATTTCTTTATTTAAATGTTTTTTTTTATTGGTTTTTCAGTTGAATTTTACTTGAAGTTCAGGGTAATCAACTGTTAAAAACATAGTGTTCATTTTTTTTCAATAAATTGATGTTTTCAAAGTAAATGGATAATCGTTTTTAATAATCGTGATATCAATTATTGACCCAAATAATCGAGATTATGAGTTTTGCCATAATCGAGCAGCCCTACACGAGTATCTGTACTTCTACTTGAGTAAAGGATGCGAGTACTTTTCCCCTCTCTGATAATAATAATGATAACATAAAGTAGATCCACAGTGAAACGTCACTGACCCACAGTGGAGACAGGGGAGCGGGTCTCGTCCAGGACCTCCACGGTCTCAGCGAGCACCAGCTGGACTTTAGGAACCACCACCAGGAGGGCCAGGATATCCAGAGCGTAACGTACCGTGTCACTCCTGCACACACAAGTTATATTATCATTATCTCACACACAGGTTCTATTTCGTCCCTACTGACCAGGGGCGGTTGCTTTAGCACTGGATACTGTCCCATCGCGCGCATGCGCATCTCGAGTACCAATAACAACAAAGTCACCTGTGACCCACACGTGACACCGGTGTCGTCAGAGGATCTGTTCCTTTTCATCTTCCTTCGCTGCGCGAGAGTACCGTGGCTACATTTTTGTAGCCTACAGCGTGCGTTCGGTTGGAACATTTGTCAAGGATTCTCTGCAAAGCTGGCTGCGTGCAGCTTCGAGACTCATCCAGTCGGAGCCGCGGGCTTACCCGTCCTCCAGGAGCTGTGGCCGGCTGCGCAGAGACTTCGTTCGGACTGGTGTCGGCTTGGTTGGTGATGGCAGTGTTTCCGCTCCCTCTCCCAGCCTAGTTGTCCTAATTACTATCCGTTTGCTTTTTGGGCTTGAACTTTTTTGGTGACGGTGGCGTTTCTGCTCCCTCTCCCAGGAGTTGCCCGTGCTGTGCTTTTGTACTTGTTCTGACCGCGGCGTTGTGCCAAGCTACCATTAGCATTTTGAGTTCTCTGGCTTTAGCTGTGTTTCTGTTTAGCTGGTTAGCAGTAGCGGAGTTTCCCATGCTGTTTTTTCTTTAGAAGCCAGTTTCTGGTCTTAGCTTTGTTAAAGCTTCTTTATTTTACCCAGCTAGGTGAAGGCAGTGTTCTCACCCCCGCTCCTGGTAGACGCTAAACTGCCTTGTTTATTCGAGTAGCAGCACCGCTCTACCCTTTTCGTTAAGCAGGTAGCTGTGAAGGCAGTGTTCTCGCCCCCGCTCCTGGTAATGCTGAACTGCCTTGTTTATTAATCCAGCTAGGTGAAGGCAGTGCTCTCGCTCCCGCTCCCTCTGCCGGTAACGTGGGTGTAATTACATCCCTTTTCTGTTTGGCGAGTAGCGGCGCGGCTCTACTCTTTTCCGTTAAGCAGGTAGCTGGTGAAGGCTGTGTTCCGCACCCGGCTACGCTGCATCTGGCTACCTACAGAATGGCTCATTCATGTAGCGCCTGTATGGCTTCTCTTGAGCCCGAGGACGGCCATGACCGCTGCCCCTCTTGCCTCGGCCTCGAGCATCTAAGGGAGGCTCTCACGGTAGCCCTGCATGAACTGTAGCTGCATGCCCCGGGCACTCAGAGTGGCTAGAATCACTGAGGTGGAACGTCTGGCGGCAGCCAACGGACACCTCTCTTGGTCACATCCTCCTCCAGATCAGTTCGGCCGTCCCCGGCGACTTGAGGGAGCGATGGCCATGGGTGCACCCCCCAATAGGAGGACTAGAAACAGGCTGTCCTCTAAAGTGGATCAGCTACTACCGACATGGACATGGAAGTCGCTCCTCTTGGCCCTTCAGCCAGGGCCCGGTATAGGGCTGCTAGTGTGCCGCCTCCTCCCCTCCTTCGGTTGCCGCACCTCTGTATGAGGATGCCTTGTCGCTAGCGGCTTCGGCTAACCTCTTCAATGAAGAGACGGAGGACGAGGTCCCGCTCGAGGGTTCCCTGCAGGGCGTGGAGGCGACTCCATGGCGGCCATTATTCGTACGGCCCTGGCGCACCTGCAGATTCCGGTTCCGCAGGCCGACTTGTTCAGGCTAGTGCCTTCTTCAGGCGTAGCCCAGCCCCTGTCCCCCTCACCGTTCCTCCTTCAGAGGAGTACCTGAGGGAGCTCCAGGCATGCTGGAGGACACCAGGGCCCTCGCCACGCTGGCTCCGATGCCCGGACCTTGGCTGCCATGCAGGACCCGGCGAGGGTGGGGCATGCCACCCATTGAGCCTGCCATCGCCTCCCTGATTCTGGCTCCTGACGAGGCTCTAAGGCCTGGGTCAGGTGCCCTCGCCTCAGTGCAGGGTCACAGATGGGCTGCTCTGTAGGGCCTACGACGCAGCAGCGGCACGGGAACTCCCTCTCCCATCTAATGCTGGCCGTCTCCACCTCGCTGCAGCAGGCTCCGGCCGAGCCTTCTTTGCTGGGCCTCAGTGATCACTGCAGGCCTTTGCCCTAATGACTAGGGAATTGGGACGAGTTATGTCCTTTCTGGTACAGACTCGTCGCCAGGTTTGGCTGGCCCAGTCACCACTACGGAGACATGTAGGAGAGTCCTCCGTAGCGTGCCAGTCGAGCCAGGGGAGCTGTTTGGGCAGGCATGTGCTCGTTCGTTCGGACAACATGTTCGCCGTTGCCCAAATCAACCCCAGGGG